GTTAGGAAAACACGGAGGTTAGACGCTGTTGCACAGAGAAGAAATGTCTACCTATGTCAAGCATCTTCTTTTTTTATTTATTATTGTTTACGTCCTAGGCATTTCACAGGTAAGCTAGTATCTGTGGCATCAATGGTTAATTCACAGTTTTTATTGAGAAAATTTCATTCTAAATAGAGGAAATTAGGCTATTACTCTAACAATGGTTATTTTGTTAAAAAGTCTTTCTAGAATAGACCTAATAGTTTTTGCTCCAGACTAACATGTGTTTTAAACGTTAGAAATGTACATAGCATTTTTGCATATTACCTTTCACATTATTGTTCCTCCAGAAATTACTTTATTTTTCACATTGGTTTAACTATTTACATTTCAAAAGGGAATAATAGGGCATTTAAATAGCAGGGTATGGCATGTTGTCACAAAAGATTAAAGTGGTTTGAGTGGAAATGCTCAATAGCTTTTTGTAACCTTTTAATGTGCCTATGCAAAAATTAAAACATTTTCATTTTATATGCAGATATAGCTTATTTAACGGTTACATTTACCTTCTATATCTAACGTTGTATCTTCTGTTACTGTTTTACACTTTATTTTGTAAGTAGGCCTACACACTCATAATAATATTGTGTCCAATGTTTTCATGCAGATTAGTAATAAAGGGAAGAACTGGGAAGAATAAACTATGGAATAATTTACCCTAAATATACTTTAAAAATGTACTACATTTGTATGGACCACAGAAGGAAAGTCTATGTATGTGCTCTCTGGGGACAAAAGGTTTCAAATAAGATTAAATGAGATTTAAATGATTTCTAGCCTGTTTCTTTGCCTATCTAGGACTGTATTTTACTTTCAAACATCTAGGACTGTACAGGTTCAGTAAATACTATTGTGTTATATTGTATAAGGACTGAGGCCGTTCGTTTCTCAAATCCCTAAATTACCCAGACACGGTCAAAATGAAGAATCCTTATCCATGCTTGAAAGAGACTGATGGCTAACACTGCACCTGAGGCATGGGAGAGGCGCGCTGCTCCGAACAATGCGTGTGCGCCTTCTGCTGGCGACAAGGAGGGATGGCGGCGTTTCTCACAACTTCACTATCACATGGAGAGGCTTCATTACCTGCCAAGAAACTTCGCGCGTTCTCTTCGGTTGTTCATTACATGTTAAGTATGGATGAATGCACTTGTACATTTGTACGGTCTTTGTCTTAAAAATACACACTCAGAACAGATCAGTGATTTACTGCGTTACAGCGGCTGTTGTGTGCCAGCGTGTCGCGCCTCCGCAGGGCTCGTGGTGATGCATGACGCATCGCGCTGGTTTTGACATTCTCTGAGCTTCCCTCATTAAGCGCTCTCACCCGCGGGTTGTCATCGAGGCATAGGGCGTACTGAAGGATCACCAGCCCGCCGAGCGGACAGAATACGGGTAAACTCTCTCAATGGAGCAGCTGGCTATGACTGAAGTGTTTACCCTGCAGACCGGATAAATAAACCGATAAATAGGCTACGTTCACCGAAAGGGTCCTGCGTTCTGCATTTTTAATGAGCCGAAAAGAATGCACGTCACACCTCAGTTTGTCAAATTGCCCCCTTGGCCTTTGTCAATCATGGCCTCCTAATAATCCCCATCCACTTCATTGGCTCTATGACTCTCTCTCCTCTCCACCTGTAGCTGGTGTGCATCATCCAAGTAGATGCTGCACACTGGTGGTGGTTGAGGAGAGACACCCCACATGAATGTAAAGCGTTTTGGGTATACAAAAAAATACACAATATAGCGCTATATAAATGCATCATTCATTCAGTTTGCACTGGCTACCAATAGCTGCTCGCATTAAATTCAAGGCATTAATGTTTGCCTACACAACCACCACTGGCTCTGCACCCATTTACCTAAATTCATTACTTCAGACTTATGTGCCCTCTAGAAGCTTGCGTTCTTCAAGTGAACGTCGCTTTATTGTGCCATCCCAAAGAGGCACAAAATCACTTTCACAGACTTTTACATTAAATGTTCCCTCCTGGTGGAATGACCTGCCCAACTCAATCCAACAGCTGAGTCCTTAGCCATCTTCAAGAATCGGCTAAAAACACATCTCTTCCATCTTTTTTTGACCCTCTAACTCTAGCACTCCTATTCGAATTCTATTCTTTAAAAAAAAAAGCTTCTCTAACACTAGCTTTTCTAATCTTTTTGTATTCTATCTATTTGTTTTTTTATTATACAATTAACAAAAGCAAAAAAGGCCTCTAACACTTGCTCTATTCTTTTTCAATTCTATCTGTTTTCTTTTTATTTATTATATAATTTAAAAAAAACTTGCTACGTGTACTGTATTAAGCTAACTGAGACTTGTTATAGCACTTGCATATCATTGCTCTTTTGTTGATTTTGATTGCTTCCATTGTCCTCATTTGTAAATCGCTTTGGATAAAAGTGTCTGCTAAATGACTAAATGTAAATGTAAAAAAGGGTATATAAAATGACAGTAAAAATAGTTTGTTTTTCTGTTATTCTTCCATGTGTTTTTTTTGTGGCCCTGTGGACTTTTTGAAAATGTGATGTGTTTGAAAATTAGGTGATGAAAAATAGATATTTTTTTAAATCAAATACATTTAGCCGACAAGGTTTTTTTTTTTTTTTTTGATAATACTAGGGCTTATACAGCACATTTTGTAGTAGCCTAGGCTATATATTAGGCTATTTACTCAAAATACACATAGTTACGTAATATGTTCACACCTTTGCATAAATTCGCAACTAGCTTAATTAGAAATGATCTATATTTTAATATTGTTTACAAGTGATATTTACCTTGTATTTTTCAGCGTCACATCATGTGCTTCCTGTTTCTTCTCAAGTATGCTCTACCAATCAGGCTTGGTAAACAAGTACACTAGCCTTTGAAAAAAACTTTATTAATTGTTGTGGTCAGGATGGAAAGGACACAACTCTTCAGGAACTGTACTAATTTGTTTTTACATTTACTTTTTCATTTAGGGGATACTTTTTATTTATCCAAAGCAACTTATGAGGAATAGGCAACAACAAAGTATACATTTTCAGAAAATATTGAAAAGTTTTTTATTTCACCCTTTGTTTAAATCATCATAGTTTTAAACATACAGTAATTTAGAACTGTAGTCAGTTTTGATGTTAATTATATGATATATATATATTATTTTGTATTATAATATTTAAGTTTTAGTTAAAGAATGAAACCGTTTACACTAGGCTAAAACAATGAACAATATTTAATATTAAATCTTGAAAATCTTGAAAATTAAAAATCACAAAATCATAACCTTTTAATGTGACCTTCATATAGAAAAAGACAGATCTAATTTAATAAACATCAACCCTTCTCTGTAAGTTACCGTACCATATATCATGACAAATTGTAAATGGTTTAACATCCCATTAAAATGTAATTTTACAGTAAAATATAGTAAACTGTTTTTACAAGTAAAAACTATGAATTACCAGATGATTTGTAGTGGAAAAACTGTAAAAGGATGTATTTTTAATAAATTATTTTGTTTTCTTCTTGTTTTTGTTATCTGTAATAGGGTGTTTGTGTTACATTTTCTATTATTTAGTTAATGTTTATTTCATCATTGTCATGTGTGTTACCCTGATAGCATTTTGTCTCTGAGGTCCTGTGCACGGTCAATACATAAGTATTGGCCATATTTTATGGACAGTCCACTGACGATGAACTTACTTATCATGTGACTTTCTATTTTGCCTTTATTATCTGTATATTTTAAGATAATGATATAATAAGCAGTGGTGTAATGTAACAAAGTAATAATACTTCGTTACAGTACTTAAGTATTTTTTGGGAGTATCTGTACTTTACTTGAGTTTTTATATTTCAGTCAACTTTTACTCCACTACATTTCCTCATTAAAATCCGATACATTTCCCCGAAGCATATTCGTTGCTTACTACAAAATAGTCAGAAGTCAGAAGAACACGGACTGCAGGAAAGCACGTTTGACGAATCAGTGGTCTGCCGTTTGCAAGTTAGACTCCTAAAAACACCTTTGCTCACGTGCAAACAAGTCCGCGGATGTGTTTATATTTCAGTCAACTTTTACTTTTACTCCACTACATTTCACCGAAGCATATTCGTTACTAACTACAAAATAGTCAGAAAATTAATTCAAGGCATTCGAAATTGTAGACGGCAAAAATGCTTCTGTATGCTTTTTATATTTATATAATTTAATATAGTTAACTTAATCTATATCACACAAAGAGTACCGTTTTTCTGCAGATATCACACATTTAATAATCATTTTATACAAGTTCAGTAAAGCAATAAGTGCTTTTAAGTCACTGACTTACATTTTAGATATAATATTGCTTGTTTTTGCAAAATTTTGCCAACAAAAATAGTTCCAAACAAAGATCACAGCACTGTTTTGCGTCTCTGAGCAATGGACGGTGTTTACTCGTTGAATAAATAAGCTTTTTGAACGAATCGGTTGAATAAATGATTCAGTGATTCACTCATTAACACAGTCAAATGCTTTGTTTCTGAATGAATCAGTCGTTTGAATGAATTGGTTGAATCTCAATGACTCACTCATTAACAGTTACTTGCTGTCACCTACTGGCGGTTTTAATTTAAAATTTCGACTATTTTTTTTCATGTTTTAAATTATTTCAAATATCAGTATTCAAAACAAAACATTAGGCCTATTTATGCATCTGTAAACCATAAACTGTGTAAATACATCTAAATGCTATTTCAGATGCAGATTCTTATGTTGGAATGAAAGAAACTAAGTACCAGAAGAAGTGCTTCATATTCTTACCCAAAAATACAAAATGGAAGAAAGAGTTAAAACTGAACACACTCTTTTCCATTTTGAATTTACTTGTACTTTTACTTTCAATACTTAAGTACATTTAAGATTAAAAAAATACTTTTCATACTTAAGTACAATAAATATCACATACTTTAAAACTTTTACTCAAGTAATATTCTAAACGGTGACTTCAACTTCTACCAAAGTCATTTTCTGGTAAGATATCTGTACTTTTTCTTGAGTATGGCTTTCGGGTAATTTATACACCACTTATAATAAGCTATAAGTTTTTAAATATACAGGCATTCCATAATACTGGAAATTTTGCCACAGTATTTTTATGGTGAATTTCTGGCAACCACAGCTGCCATGTTTTTACAGTAAAATCTAACTTTTTTTTTTTTTTAGAGTACTAGGATGTAAAATTGCTCTACGTTAAAGAATCACCCTTAAATGACCTAAAATGAAGTGCTGTAAATGCAAATTGACTTGAGCTTCTTCAAATTTGTATTTACTTACTTCAAAGAAAAATACAGCATCATACTTTTTCATTAGATTAAGAGGGTCTATATTTGCTAATAAATAAAATACCCTAAACTATAAATAGCCTAGTCCTAAAGCACACACACACACACACACACACACAGCACAGTTACATTAGCACTAAAGTGTGGTAGTACATGCCTTCATTAGAATGGCTCTACTGAATATCTCTACTCACCCACTGACACTAAACACACACACAAGTTCATGAATATCTCTTCAGATGCCAGAATAAGCACATCACCAGAAACGCAAACAGACACATGAGAAAAGATTCAAGGTCTGACTTGTCTTTGTGGAGCTGGCCGCTGGTCAGAGGATGTGTGAAATAAACAGTCTACTGAGAGATGGCATTGTGACCCGCCGCGAGGGGAATGAGGTCATGGTATCAACCTGAAATGTAAACACATGTGCACACAAGGCTATATTTGCGCATCTTTCTTTGTGTGTGTGTTCCTTTGATACAATGAACTCACAGTCATTTAATAAATGACTGAAGCATTTTTGTAGCATACTAATTACTGATGAGTCCTTAACCGTGTTCTTCAGGGCTGTGGAGAGTAGAAACCTCTGTGCTGCTTACAGAAATAACAAAAAGTGTTCCTGTTGTATGAAAGTGATGAATTACTGCACTTCTGTGTGGCCCTACTGAGCAAGCAAAATGTGTTGAAACGAATCAACGTCCGCAGCTGATGCTTTTGCACTCTCTGAGACAACAGACAGCCACAATAAGCTGATTACTCATCCGTCATGTGATTGGCCACCAGTTCTTGAAGACTGCTAGGGCATTTGTACAAGTAAACACAAGTAGCTTGATTTATTCATGCCCACATACCAGCTTTCTCTCACGAAGATTTAAGACATTATTTACTGACAAACATCACTAGTAACCACATTCACTTATTAACAAACAAAATTTATCTTTCATATATTGCGCCTCAACAAAAATAATATTTCTTTAAATGTAGTTTTGAGTAAAATCTAAATCATGTCAACTCATTAGCCTTAAAACAGAATGTTATATCACTGTCTCTCTTCCTTTCTCACACGCACACAGGAAACAGATTTGTTGATGTCACAGCACTGGGCATGTCCATAAGGTAGGCTACTACTGACAACACTAGAGGACTACCAAAGCTTGTCTTTGCATCCACTTGTTTCTTTGCTCGTTTAGTCCTCCTTTTGTTTTTAAACGGCAGTTGTTGGAAGAACCTCTTATACAGGACTGAAGATAGGTAAGGTAAGGATTTGAATAAGATACAGGTGCCAAACATTGCGTAATTGTGTCCAAAACTTTACGTGCGCATCGGTGAGCAGTGATAGTACTTAAATTAATCCTGCTGCGATGTAACAGACCTTTTAAGGTTGTTGTGAATGTATAAGTCTTAAAATGACTATTTGTGAACAAACGATGAGTTAAATTAGCATATGGGTTAAATGTCTGTGTATATAAGAACCAAATGTGTATTTCTGAGTGCCCTTACTGAGCATTGGATGGCCATGGTCGCTAAATGCACTGCGGTCAAGCCAGCCTCGCTTTGAAAATGCACGGTCAAGCCAGTAGTGATGTCCGGTTCGCGAACGAATTGTTCGATTTAACCGGTTCTTCTTAGTGAACCGGTTGAACCAGTTCACCAAATCTTCTGTGGTGTGATGCAGACAGTGAGGAACCTGAGTTGTAGGAAACCGGATAGAAAGGTTGAGTCTAGTAGGAAGAACTTGCAATCTGGCTTGTACTGTGAAAATGGCAATGGCACACACACACACACACACACATATACATATACTTCTTTACATGCATTTTGACTGCTCAAAGCACCCGTACCGTAAGTGCACAATTACACGCGCAAGCCAAAAAAAGTGCGGCTGGCTTGACCGTGCATTTTCAAAGCGCGGCTGGCTTGACCGCAGTGCTAAATGCGCACCAGGTGCACGTGCGTTAGGCGTTTGTCAAGTTCATTCTCGTGGGAAATACCCGTGGGTTGATATGCATTTCTCAGTTTTGCACCGATGATCAGCGGCGGGGAGGCGTGAAAAAGCTCACGCCCAGATATGATAAACGTGACGCTCCAGCAAACGAGCACCATACACACACAAAGGCGTTGGCTTTCCAACTTTATTTTTAATTTTCGTCACTTTCAGAATGACTATTTATTAATTAAACTCTATTTTCAGTCATCTTGTTTTACTCCAATTTGGAGTTTATAGTCAGTTGTGATTTGGACGTGATTTTGTTTTGGTATGTATCAACGAACAGGGTAAAACAGGGCCTTATCAACGCTGTTATAAAATTTAGAACATGCCTGAATGCACTTTAAAACTTTGATTTGTGTAATTGCGTGTTTAGCATTAATTAAATATTTTTATATTAATGTGAAATTAATATAAAATTGAAGTTAAAGATTTGGATAAAATAATAAAAAAATACTGCAGGATTAGTAACAAGGTTGCACACTTCAAGCTGGGCAAGCTAGTTTGGCACCACATATTGGTTTGTAGAAAAAAAAATCCCTTTTCTTGTTAAAGTGTTGAATGGTTTGATGATTGTAAAATTAACACAATTTATGTGAAAATATACACTACAGTTAAGTACATCACAATTTTTAAAATGTTTAAAGGCTGCATTTATTTGATCTAAAATGAAGTAAAACATTATGAAATGTTCCAATTTAAAATAAGATTTCTATTTTAATATGTTTTAAAATGTAACTTATTCTTGTGATGGAAACGCTGAACTTTTAGCAGCCAGTCTTCAATTTGATTTAATGCATCCTTGCGGAATAAAAGTTTTAATTTCAGTAAATTGATTATCGAAAAATCTCCAAACTTTTGAGCGATGATGTATAAATAAGGAATTATTTACTTGTCTGCTGTGTTGGAGGTTGTGAGAAAATTGTGGGACAGAGTTAAATGCATTTTAATAAAATTAAGAACTAAAATAGTTATATTAATTTCTACAGTTAACAGTTGTTTGGAGGGGGGCTTAGAGGCAATCGATGTGTTGAAGATTAACATAACATGAAAAGTACATTTAACAAGTTTGTTTAAGCTGATACTAAGCCAAGACATCACGGAGTTATTGCTCCAAAGAACATGGGATTTGTGCTTTTACTGCTTAAAGCAATTGTAAAATGTGATTCCATGTCTTAACAGGGCCCACAGCAGAAAGTTCAGTCAATGGAACCTATCTGGAAATTTCCCCTGCACGGCCATAGCTGAGAGACAGAGAGGATTTTCACACAGGTTGGTGATGTGATTCATCACAAAGTATTCTGCCATGAGTCTGAAACAGTGGATGCCATAAATGCCTCTGTTCCAAAGAGCTACAGTACATCCAGAAAAGCAAATTCATGAGTGACTGTATCTGGATGCGTTCTCATATCATTCCTACTTGGATAAATTATATAGGGTGTTCTTTGAATGAGCCATCAATTTATTTTTCTGCTTCATCAATAGGACAACCCAAATCTACAGTGTCATCTGTCCTTCATACTACCTACAGCACGCACACATGGATCTCCAAGAAGATCTCATAGACCGGGACATCACTCTGACTGTACTGCTCCCAGGAGGACAGGAGACCACAGCCACAGTGCATGGCAGGTGAGCGAGAGGGGAAAAATAACTGTTGTTGCACATTTTCACCAATTCTTGCACTGAAATGACCGTCCGGTCATATTTTAAATGACTTGTGTCTGTGCACTTGCAGTAAACCAGTTATGGATGTTTTGGTTACACTGTGTGCTCAACACCATCTCGTTCCATCGGATCATGCCATTAAGCTTATTTCCACAAATCAAAACCACATCAATTTCAAACCCAACTCCATGATTGGCTCTCTTGAGTTTGAAAGAGTTGTCCTGCAAACTAAAGGATGTGATGATAAGAAGAAACCTCATGTTCCTGTGGTAAGTCTAATTGAAAGCTTAATTATATCCATATCTTATCATTTTACCTTAATTACCATATCATCTTAAAATTAAATTTTTAGTGGGTTTTGTCAAATTTCAAGCAGTTAATCAAGGGATTTGGACCTTTTTGGTGCATAAAACGAGTGTATCTTATACATTTCATAGTAGGTCACCCAGGTTGGGCACAGAGTCTGGCTTAAGTCACATTGAACCTGTTATTAAAAGTTTGAACTCTCTAAAAATTGGCAACTCTCTCAAAACAGGCAACAGTTCGTCTTCTGGTAAACTACAAGAAGTCTCATAAGGCAGTAGTACGAGTCAATCCTACAGTGCCGCTGGCTGAGCTGATGGCCACAGTGTGTGAGAAGTGTGAGTTCGACCCTGATGCCACCATCTTACTGAGGACATATCAATCAGAGGAACGTCTGGATCTCACCAAAACACTAAATGACTATGGAATCAGGGAGCTGTATGCCAAAGACATTAAAGGTTAGAAAAGTTTTTAAAAAATGTCACTGTAGTGACATTGTGGCAATGTTGCATACTGTATCATTAATTTAAAAATGACATATAATGTGCAGTACATACTGTGTGTTTAGTACACAATATAGGTCTCATTCAATAATAATTGCATGAATTATTCAATAAATTTGTGATGAAATTACACCTAATTTGCACATTTTCATGTGCATAGGCACGTGAATTTGTTTTTAATCTCATTATGTTCATGAGTTTGGAGTATCACAAATGAGTGACTGCAATTCTCATTTGCATAAAACACACCCAAACCATCTCCATATTCTGCTTACTACACA